TGCCCGCTTCGCTAACCAGTGCACTGGAGACGTAGCTGCTTCCAGTCAGCAGGGAGTCAGACCTCCACGCCCTCAGCCACCACGTAGAGGAGGAGTAGCACCACGGGTATATGCACTTGTTGCGGAGAAAGAAGTCCTGGGTGACGAGGCTTACTTTGCTCAGGAGACATTCACCATTGATGCCGTCGTCGAGGGTGACCCCGAGCAGTTAGACGCTGCTACCATCACAGGTATCATAGATCTTCATGGTACTACATGCCACGTTTTGTTTGATACGGGAGCTACACATAGCTTCCTAAGTTTGAGTACAGCGAAGGGCTTGGATGTGATGGATATGGATACAGCTGAGAGATATAAAGTGCATACCCCTTCAGGAGAGATCCTGTCAGTGACCGGGGTGTTACGCGGTGTCCCTCTAATACTCTGTGGAAGGAATCTCTTAGCTGATCTGATTATAGTACCTATTCAGGGGTATGATTTGATATTGGGAATGGATTGGCTGACCGTGCATCAGGCACATATTGACTGCCACCGGCGGGTGATTCAGTTTGCAGATGCGGCAGGGAAGTTTGAGTTTATGGGAGACAGAGCACGGAATCCTTTCCCGATCATATCAGCATTTCGAGCCAGCCGAATGATTCGGAAGGGAGATGAGGCGTTTCTCGTGGTAGTGACAGCTACCCAGGAGGCGGAGATGAGGTTGGATGAGACGCTTGTAGTTCGTGATTTTCCCAACGTCTTTCCGGAGGAATTGCCAGGGTTACCACCGGAGAGAGAGGTGGACTTTTGCATTGATGTGATTCCAGGTACGGAACCGGTATCTAGGACTCCGTACTGGATGGCTCCAATAGAGATGGCAGAATTGAAGAAGCAGTTGAATGAGTTGATGGAGAAGGGATTCATTCAGCCGAGTGTTTCGCCTTGGGGAGCACCGGTGCTATTCGTCAAGAAGAAGGACGGTAGCATGCGATTGTGCATTGACTATCGAGGACTTAATCAGGTAACCATTAAGAATCGGTATCCACTGCCGAGGATTGATGAGTTACTTGATCAGTTGCAGGGTGCACAGTGGTTCTCGAGGATAGATTTGCGCTCGGGATATCATCAGATTGGTGTGAAGGCCGGGGATGTGCAGAAGACGGCTTTCCGTACACGGTATGGACATTTTGAGTTCGTCGTTATGCCTTTTGGACTGACGAACGCTCCTGCAGTATTTATGCAGTTGATGAGCCGTGTATTCATGGATTACCTCGACGAGTTTGTCATCATCTTCATTGATGACATATTGATCTACTCACCGGATCGATGCAGCCATGAGCAACACTTGCGTCTGGTATTGCAGCGTTTGAGGGAGCAGAAGTTGTATGCGAAGTTCAGCAAGTGTGCTTTCTGGTTGCAGGAAGTTGGATTTCTGGGCCATGTGATTTCGGCTCAGGGCGTACAAGTGGATCCGGCAAAGATTGAGGCTGTGATGGAGTGGAAGACGCCTACCAATGCCACAGAGATCCGCAGTTTCTTGGGATTGGCAGGGTACTTCAGGAGATTTGTCGAGGGTTTTGCCAAGTTGGCAAAACCAATGACGAAGTTGACAGGGAAGAATGTGCGGTTTGATTGGACACCAGAGTGCGAAGTAAGCTTTCTAGAGCTCAAGAGACGACTCGCGACCGCACCTATCTTGGCATTACCACAGCCAGGTACACTTTATGAGGTTTATACCGATGCGTCGAAGCAAGGCTTGGGTTGCGTATTGATGCAGGAAGGACATGTGATTGCATACGCATCCCGACAGCTGAGGAAACATGAGGAGAATTATCCGACGCACGATTTGGAGCTGGCAGCAGTGGTACATGCGTTGAAGATTTGGAGATCCTATCTATATGGAGAGAAGGTTAAGCTCAACACTGATCACAAGAGCTTAACCTATGTGATATCGCAGAAGGATCTGAATCTTCGACAGCGTAGATGGATTGAGTTGATAGCTAATTATGACTTGGAGATCGCATATCATCCGGGCAAGGCGAATGTAGTCGCAGATGCCTTAAGTCGGAAGAAGATTCTATCAGCTATTCAGATACTCTCATCTTCGCAAGAGAACATAGTTGAGTTATCAGCTATGTTAGGACATATGGAAATCGAGGAGGATCATGATATGAGTTTGAGGAGACGTGTGATAGAGGGACAAAGTCATGATCCGGATTTGCAGAAGATTATTGAGGAAATTAGCAGATATGGTGAGAAGGGATATCAGATGGATGAGGAGCATGCATTGAGGCTCCATCAGCGACTGCAGACCGTCCGTTCCGGCGGTCTTGGCCAGGTCACGCGACGCCTCTTCCTTTCTGCTTAGTCACCGCCGCAATTTCGGCCTCCCTTCGGCGTGTGCCACCTCCTGCTTCCCGTGGGACGCAAGATTTCGCCCCCAAGTTCACCATTCTTCAGCCATTTCACCCTCTCACGCTCTCGCAACTCTCTCTCAAAAGTCCGAAACTTCAACCTTCGATTGGAGCCCCGATTTCGATCGAAATCAACAAATAAACACATCAATCAACCTTACAGAACATCCCCAACGAAACCCCAAGCTCGAATTTGAGCTAAATGAGTGTTTCGGATTATGTCCGAAAATGATAATCAAATTGAAAATGGAGATTTGATTGCTTTGCGTGAAAATTGCATGAAATTGGTGTTAGATTTGGATTCCTGATGTTCTAGGGATCATTTTTATGTATAATTTGTTGAGTTTGGTGCAAAAATTGGAAACCCGAAGTTCTTGGTGCGCCTAGACCGAACGTTCCAGGCATGGACCGCCCGTTCTAGGGTTTGCAGGGTTTCGGGGGAAGAAGACGAGTCCAAACCGTCCGTTCTGGACCTGGATCGTTCGTTATGACCTAGAACGTCCGTTCCACCTTTCGCGGAACATCCGTTCCAGCTTCGGCCAGACCGAAGGGACCAAGCCACCAGACCGTCCATTCCAGATGGGTAGACCGTCCGTTCTGGACCCCTTTCTCCCCGTTTTGGTTCGTTCTTTCGGACCGAACGGAATCCGATGCAACCGACCCCTATACGCGACCTACCTAAACCCGTTTTCCACCCGAACCACATGAAACTTGAATGAAACCGACTTACGGTAAGTAAAACCTTCGGAACGAGCTGAATTGGTAATCCGAAATGGTCGGAACCCAATTTGATCGGATCGGAGGATAAAAGAATAAAATGAATGTAAAGGAACGAGATAACCAAAATGTCAAGTAAAGACGTGTGTATATCCGATTGAAGTATAATAATATATGAATGCATGTGATTGGGGAATCGGGTAGTTGGCATGGCGTGAGACTTTATTCCGGAGGGCCGGGATATGGTTGAGCGTGTGATTGTAGCGGGTTTGAGGTGATATCCCGATGGTTGCATTGTTGGGATCTCCTCTTTATGATCTCTGACCCGGGTCGGGTTTCATATTGAGGAGGCATGATTGTGATTGATTGAGAGGTTGTCAGTTGTGTACTGACTTCGCTCGACATAGTCGGTGGTGGCCTGGAGGAGGCACCTGGCGCTCTGGTATCGAGAGGTGACATCGGTATCAGAAGGGATGGTTGATGTATTATGTTTTATGGAGTAGGGATTTGGATGACGTATTTTATTATTTCGGCGATTGCCGAGGAGAGCGGGGGAAGTGCATTGCACATGGAGCGTCCTTACCCATGTGTGTGATGCACACGTGGAGACGATTTGACGGTACACAGAAGGGATGGTTGATGTATTATGTTTTATGGAGTAGGGATTTGGATGACGTATTTTATTATTTCGGCGATTGCCGAGGAGAGCGGGGGAAGTGCATTGCACATGGAGCGTCCTTACCCATGTGTGTGATGCACACGTGGAGACGATTTGACGGTACAGTTATTACTGAGAGACCCGATGGGTCGAGCTATGACTTGTGTACATATGTCCTGGACTGGTGAGACCAGATCCGGTGTGGTGTCCTATGTGTGCGATGCACATAGAGATGATTTGACGGTTATGTCCGATGATACATCATGTGGACTGAGTGTGTGTGATAAGTGAATTACTTGTGCGATTGAGTGAACTGTGTTTCATGGCATGAAGTGTGTATATATGTATACACTTATATCTAGTGTGTGTATAATATTGCTTGTGTTTGGCCATTTGCAATTTGAGTATGATCTTCGGGTCTAACCCGAAGTACTCACTAAGCACGTAGCTTATGGACGTTGTTATGCAACATTTCAGGCATGGACCAGTATTGGCAGCAGCAGGACGAGGGTGCTGGTGACGCGTGAGGAGATATCTGAATCATGTACTTTTCTTTCTTTGGACTTATGTTGGTTTGTACGGGCGGTGACTTGACCATGTATTATATTATAGTTACCGTCCTTATGTTGGTGTGTATACTACTGTACGTGGGTTTGTAAACGTATACTTGTTTTTCCGCTGCGTGTGTAATAAAATAAAATGTTTTTAAATTCCCGCTATTTTATTATATGTTTGAGCGTCCATGTGACACAACTCGTGAGCGGGAGACGGGTTACGGGTGTCACACCGTGGGATGTAAGTGGGTATTTAAAATTAAACGACATGCTAATGGTTCTTTTGACAGGTGCAAAGTTCGTCTAGTTGCCAAAGGATTCCATCAACGTCCGGGGATCGACTATCATGACACGTTCCGTCCGGTGATCAAGCCGGCTTCCATTCGACTTGTGTTGAGCATTGCCATGAGTCATGGGTGGTCATTACGTCAACTCGACATGAATAATGCGTTCCTACAAGGTCACCTACATGATGATGTTTATATGATGCAACCATCCGGTTTCGTCGATCAAGATCGACCTTCACATGTTTGCAAGTTGCACAAGGCTTTGTATGGGCTCAAACAAGCACCGCGTGCTTGGTACAACGAGCTACGTCAATTTCTCATATCCTCGGGCTTCAAGAACTCACTGGCCGATACCTCTCTTTTCATCTTCTGCAAGCATGGCATCGTCATTTATGTTTTGGTTTATGTCGACGATATTGTGGTCACCGGCAACGACACATCACGCAATCAACAGTTCATCCAACTCCTCTCCGATCGTTTCTCAGTCAAAGACCTCGGCGATCTCAAATTCTTTTTGGGTGTCGAGGTCTCACGATCACACAAGGGACTCTTCCTCACACAGCAACGGTATGTCCAGGATCTCCTTAAGCGTACCAATATGCTCCATGCAAAGTCAGTGGCTACACCAATGTCCTTAACGACATCACTTATTCTCAACTCTGGCTTGCCATTAGAAGATCCTACCGAGTACCGGAATGTAGTTGGCAGCCTACAATATCTCAATTTCACAAGGCCGGATATTGCCTTTACGGTAAATAAGTTATCACAGTTCATGCATAGCCCGACGAGTGATCATTGGCAAGCGGTTAAACGAGTACTCCGTTATTTAGCCGGCTCTCCATCTCTCGGTATATTCATGTCTTCGACAAACTCCTTTGATCTCCATGCTTTCTCGGATGCAGATTGGGGTGGCAACCGCGATGATTATACATCAACTAGTGCTCACATCGTCTACCTTGGCGAACACCCCATCTCTTGGTCCTCCAAGAAGCAACGCACCGCCGCACGCTCTTCAACCGAGGCCGAGTATAAGTCTGTTGCCTCAACTGCGGTTGAGTTGCGGTGGCTCTCCTCTCTTCTATCTGAACTCGGAGTTCCGATGACAACTAAACCTGTCATATTTTGCGACAATGTGGGCGCGACTTATCTTTGTGCCAACCCGGTTTTCCACTCGCGAATGAAGCACGTCGCGGTTGACTATCATTTCATTCGAGGTCTAGTCCAAGATGGTCTCCTTCGCGTGACTCATGTCTCCTCTCAAGATCAACTTGCGGAAACTCTTACGAAGCCTATAACCCGAGCCCGGTTTGAACTCCTTCGTGTTCGAATGGGTCTCGCTCATGCGCCTCATCTTGCGGGGGCGTAATGGAAAGGATATCTCTTGATATCTCTTTTGTTATCATATGCCAATATTCTCTCTTAATCACTCCTTATTCTTTGCTATTTAGTTAGTATAATTCACCTACGTCAATTGTGTATAAGAATGGGTTGTATTCATCAATAATATTCAAGGTGAACTATATTCCAAACCCTAGATATCGTTTAGAAACAAGTGGCAGCGATATGACAATACCTAAAGTTTTTTAGACCCTTCTAGCTTATTATTTCGCCTCGCTTCCTCTTCTCTCTCCGCTTCATCTTCAGGTCCCTCTCCCTCCCATGCGCCTCCTCTATTCATCCCTACCCTCAGTCTCTCCTGCTCCGCCGGATCGAAAAGCCTCGCCTCCGCCTCCTCTCTCTCGTTCTTCGCCATCTCCTTCCTCACCTGCTTCCTCTTCATCGCTTTTCGCTTCTCCCTCCGGCTTATCGCCGTCGATTCTCCGCCTCGCTCTCCTTCCCCCGCGTGCCGTTGGGTTGCTCCATTTTCGGATTACACGATTCAGACCACGTTGGTTCTCCAGTTGCCGAAATTTTTTTGAGGACGAACAACTCTTGGGAGAATCAGGACAAGTCCTCGTCGATTGTTTCCTTACCGGGTCGATTGGTAGAGGTTAATGATTTCCTGTACATAATACATAAGATGAGTTATTTATTTACTTTATATATTATATAGGGAAAATCTCAAAAAAATACTGAATTTTTCAATTTTAACAAAAAAAACACTTAACTTTATTTTTTATCAAATAAACATTAAACTTTTTAAACGAATCTCAAAAAACACTGAACTTTTTAAGTGATCAAAAAAATACCTGAACTTTTCTCCGATTATCAAAAAAACACTGAATTTTTTTAGTGATCCAAAAAAATACATAAATTTTTTTCGATTGTCAAAAAAGCTAAGAAAAATAATCTGACATATTTGCATCTGATTGTGCAACATCAGTCATTTTATTTATTTTGACAATCGTTGAAGAGTTAAGTGTTTATTTTGTCAAACTTAAAAAGTTTAATGTTTATTTGATAAAATAAAAAGTTCAGTGTTTTTTTTTCTCAAAATTTAAAAATTCAGTGTTTTTTTTTATTTTCCCTATATATTATGTTGTGATATTAAAATTGAGAAATCATAATTTTATAGGTTAAAAATTATAATGTATAAAAAAAACCTCACATAATAATTTCATTTTTCTTCTTTCAACTCTATTGATTTATTCCCTGTATTTTGTTAGGCATTATATCAAAAATATCATTCATTTATTATTTTGACTTCAACACATATCCTTCTATATATGTGATCCATGTAATCAGAAATATCGTCTGGTCACATATTGGTCTTATTGATCATAACGTTAAATTTATGGTGATCACACTAATTCATTATATTTATCCCTTATATATCTCACTAATTGTTTAATTAAAATATTATAAATTTAACGTTATAACCAATGAAATCAATATATGACCACATTATATTTCGGATCAAATGGATCACAGTTGGAGAAGAGTATGTATTGAAATCAAAATAGTAAAGGGAGAGTTTTTTTATAATGTCCCATTTTATTATAATATAAAAATTTATCATATATATATATATATATATTAGTTTGGATTTTTAATTTTAAGTTGTAAAAAAATTCTTAATTAGTGATATTTATATCCACCTAATTATTCTATCCATTTATCAATTACTATTTTCTCTAGTTCTTTTAACGCACTAGAAATTAAATCCTAACTACTATTTTTTTTAGTTTTTAATTCTAAATAGTAACTCTAACTTTTAAATTCTAAACTTTAAATCATACACAACTTTAAATTTAACTTCTAAATTTTAAAATGATACCATAGCATTAGTGTGCCAAAAGCGAGAAAGGAAGGCCTCCTGGGGTTTTCTCGGTTAGAACTAGAAAGGGCTATTATTCAAATATCTCTTTACCAGAATAATTATATATGGATCATAACGTTAAATTTATGATGATCATACCAAATCACCATGGTCACACCTTACATATCACATTAATCACTTGGTGAAATCATCGTAAATTTAACTTTATGACTAATATAACTACTATATTACATAATATAGTTATTCTAATCATGGTCATATTTGGAGTATATGTACAAAATTAGTTTTATTAAAATGAGAGTATTTTCGATTTCCAATTCTACCCTTTTTCCCTTTATTTATTACTGTCTAAGCCGCTGTTCCTCGAGCCTTCTCCGCCTCTGTGTTTTTGTGCTCGCGAACTCTCTGGCAGTTTTTAGATAGGGATAGGGAATCGTCGCCGGAGTCCGATCTATTATTTATCACGGTTTTTGGTGCGCTTTGACAATTCTTCATGGGTTCAGCGAAGAGGAAATCGGCAGAATAACCGACGGATTCTACTCCGCCGCAGAAGCTGAAGAGAGAGGATGATTCTCCCGTCACCATCGAGTTGGTGGGTTGCATCCACGATGTCTCGTACCCGGAAAATTACGTTCCTCTGGCGACGAAGACTGGTCCAGGAAATAAGAGACCGGCGAAAGAGGTCCCATTCACTCTCGACCCCTTTCAGTCTGAATCTATTAAGTGCCTCGATAATGGCGAGTCAGTCATGGTAAGCTCAATCGAAGTTGTTTGGTGGGTTTTTTTTGGCGATTTCTAATCGGTTCAAGCTCCAAAAATTTCTACGATTTAGTAGCAAAGTGTGGAGATTTGTTTTAGGGGTGATTCAATTGGTTTTCAACTGCTAGTGTAGTTATACAATTGATTTGGTCTCTAAATCTAAATTCATCTTTTGTGTAATCCCTTTACTGCGAAAAACTGGATGGTTAGTTATTTCCAAGGAACACCTATTGGGCTCAGTATTATCTATTTAGAAAACAAAAAACTCTCATAAAAAACCTTCCTTTTATTACAACACAAACATTACACAACATATACTTTTACACACACATATACGGGTGGTCTTTATCTCATTGTCCCTTTCAAAGAGATTCCTTATCTCTCCACTTTGAACACAAAAGAAAGACACATATTTCTCTAACATAATTCCTATATATATAGACCTATAGAGATAACTACCCGTAACTACATATAACTGTTCTAATTTACACTTACAAAACTGACATATAACTGCACCATAACTTATCTAAAACTGCTTTTGAGTCACGTTCCCAACACTCCTTAACTCAAAAGCTCGTCAAAATCAACGTCTATCTTCTCTTCTTCGGCTGAATCCGACGATACAGTCTCTTCAATCTCTCTTAAGACTTCTTTCTCATATTCCAACGCATGAAGAATAGATCTGCAACTCGTTGCTCCTCTTACAATCCAAGCTTTCAATATTTAAATGACTTGAACGTGTACTTTGAACAACACAAAAACAGGAAGTTGCAGATTACTATCAACTTTCACAAACCCTCTTTCTCGACAACTTTAACATCACACAAATGTTTTTTTTCACAGCAACAAACCCCACTAGTGAATCAATTTGATTTGGCTTCTCTTTTGCGTGACCATAACACACTGACCCATATCAATCGGTCTTACCGGAAACTCAGCCGCAATCCACCGAAGTCTCCATCACCGACATACCGAGCCATCGAGCCTCCTCCGTTCTAATAAAATCTCGAACAACTCTCACCACAGGCCCAAAAAGACCATATACGGCTCTGATACCACTATTATTTCTTTAGAAATCGAAAAACTCTCATAAAAACCCTTCCTTTTATTACAACATAAACATTACACAACATACACTTTTACACACACATATACGGGTGGTCTTTATCTCATTGTCCCTTTCAAAGAGATTCCTTATCTCTCCACTTTGAACACAAAAGAAAGACACATATTTCTCTAACATAATTCCTATATATATAGACCTATAGAGATAACTACCCATAACTACATATAACTGTTCCAATTTACACTTACAAAACTGACATATAACTGCACCATAACTTATCTAAAACTGCTTTTGAGTCACGTTTCAACCACTCAGGAAAAAAGTTTCCTAGTTTCTTTTTGGTTTAGAGGAACAGTGGGATTTGTATGAAAGTAAGAAATTTCTGATATCCGTGTTAATATGTAGGTTTCGGCTCGTACTTCTGCTGGGAAGACGGTTGTTGCTTCATATGCTATTGCCATATCTTTTGAGGGAGAAGAAGAGGGTTATTTACACATCGCCCATTAAGGCGCTTAGCAATCAAAAGTACAGAGATTTGAAAGAAGAGTTTGCTGATGTTGGTTTGATGACTAGGGATGTGACAATTGAGTCTAATGCTTCTTGCCTGGTAAGTAGCCGTAGCAATATAGACTGAAATTGCTTTATTTGCTAGTCTTTCTTAGTTGTGACTTCGTTTCAGGTCATGACGACAGAGATCTTGCGCAACATGCAGTATAAGGGGTCAGAGTTTATGAGGGAAGTTGCATGGATCATCTTTGACGAGGTACGTAATAGATGTGGGTAATTAAATAGGGGATATATCTAAAGTACCCTTTGACTGCTTTACGTACTTTTGCCAATACCCTCCAACATCAAAATTAAAAAAAAAGAGTGCTACACAGTTTAAAAGACATTTACACCCTTATAAAAATCTAAAAAGACGAAAAAACCTTTTTCACAATTTAAAAAATTGAAAAAACAAAAAGGTGATTATTTCTCTCTCCTAAACTCACGATGCATCTCTCTTCTAGCTCTGAAAATCTTTCTCTCTCCTACCTCTTGCTATATGTTCTTTCTCTCTCTTCTGAAATCGTTGAATCTTTACCCAAAATTTGAAAAAGTCGAATCTCTCGCTATCTATTAAACTCTCATGCGATTCAAATAAGAAGTAACGTCGCAAACGAAAAAAAAAGACTTCTACATCAGCCCAATACTCATCTTAATCGACATCTTCGAACGAGATCGAGAACCGAATACAAATTAATGAGTTAAACGATCATCGGGTAGGTTACTTATTTTTTTCTCAAGTTTGCTAGATTTTGAAAATTTTTTATGTTGATTT